CATCGATGGAAGCCCACGTCCTGCCTGGCAGCCAGCAGGTGGCTCAAAGGGAACAGTAACAATGAGCTCCATCTTTTCATCCTTTTAGCATGTTCCATATCTCTGTTTCCTCTTGCTTTCATGTTTTACTCCCTGCTGTGCCTCCTATTCCAAAAATACCTCCTCCCTGCTGGAGCCAGAGCCCTCACTCCTGCTGGGCGCTGAAGGTAAAGCCTGCAAACTGCCAGGCTACCAGGTATGTCTCACTTTCTCCCTTACTCCTTTTCCCACCTAATCTCTATCTAGAGGGGCTCATGAAAAATCTTCTCCAGACTTCTCTTCCTGGCAGCCTCCTACTTCTGCCTTTCTTCTCTCTGACCTAAACAGGATCTCAGGCTGTGAACTGAGTCTGCTCTGGTCCATTTTTGTGAGCCTTTTCATTCACACCAGTTTTCACTCAATTCCCTTTGAATTCCCTCTCCCTGTGGAGGGAGCAGCAATGGGCAGTTACATTCTATGCCGCTCCGTGGCCTCATGGAATTTGGCAGCACTGGGAACTCGTTAAAGCAGTAATCGGTGACCAAACATCTGCTCTGCTCTCTTTTCTAGTGAGTCACCTCAGCTGCCGGTGGCTGGGCCTCACCTGCTCCAGCACCTCTTTTCTTTCTCCCCTGCTACTCGGCAGTGAAGGTGGCACATGCCTTTCCAGTATAAACCAGTGGGATTTCAGTGCTGAGGAGAACACAAAAGTGTTTGGTGATTTTTTTTTTTAATATATTTGCTGCACACATCCTGGTCTTCTCACCTTGCTGTATATTCTCTTCGCAGAGTTTAAGCGCTGTCTGGGAAAGAGAGAGGATGGTGCTGCAGCTATTTACATTGAATTGTCCAGTTTGGAACTCAGTAGACCTTTGGGATTTATGCAAGAAATTTCCATGGGGAAATATGTTCTTTGAAAACCCTGGAGAAGTGTCAGTGACTGGATATTCTAACAGAGAAGCTCCAGAGGGAAGACTTCTAAGAAACGAGAATAGAACTTACTGAGAATAGAACTTTCTCTGCACTCCAAGACTTTCCCAGGATGCCATTCCAGCTCAAGATTTCTGCTGCTTCTCCAGCCATCCAAATAAACTGGTTTTGTTTAAAAAAAAAAAAAAAAGTGATTTTTGGCTGACTAAAGTGGTTGCTGAGCTTAATCCTCCGTTCAGAGTGGGTTCAGGTCCTTCCGGCAGGACACAGGCCTAACCTCTAATGAAGAGGTGGGCAGGCACCCCAACACAGAATTGGGGCTTTTCAGGAATGCTTGATGTCAGGGTTACATAAAGCCTGGAGTCGACAGCAAACTCCCCACAGCCCAACCCCAAGACAAGCCGTTTTTCAGCACCAAGCCCACTTGCTAGCACCTAGTGCCATGTACTTACTCCCTGTTGCTCCTCCTCTCTCCTTGCACTGCTCCTCATCTTTATTTCAGCTACTGAATTTTCATGTGCTGTTCAAAAGAAGATAACGCTTCTGTTAAGTCAGCTCCCAGGAGAAAATTGCATACAAGGAGAAGACATTGGAGAGCATTTCCCGCTGCTTCTCCAGGGTGTGGTGGGCTCCTGTGAGCACCATTATTGCAGGACTCTGTAAGAGCCTGTGCACTCGTAGTCAGTGACGACCTGGCGGTACCATTTGTACGAGGACTGGTGTTGTCTCCCCAACGCCAGTGCCACGTTCATCAAGCTATTGCCTAATCCCCCTGCCCGATCCAGCTGGCTACGTTACAGGCTGTTTCCTCACCAACTTCTTTGCTAGAGGCAGCTGCTGCCTGGCACGGATTCGCACTGCCCTTGGGGCAAAGCAGAGTGAAGGGGAACCCTCTGGAAGGAACAGAAAGTTGCAAAAGTTATTGCAGAGCTGCAACTAATTATAAAGCTCGGCTGGCAATCCAGGCTCTAGGCAGGGCCTATGAGGTCAACCTCACAGTGCAGCTTCATTCTGTGCTCCACAGTTGAATACTGGAGCACACACAGCTACACACTGGTCTCTTCTCCCCACACAGCATAATGAGTAATTTTGCTACAGAGAGAAAATGCAGCTCCTCACTTGGTCCGTGTGTGGTAGTGATCGAGGCACGGACCTCCCTGCTGCACCGGGCAGACACAGCCCTTGCACGTGCTCTTCACTCCAAAGTGAATGTGAGGAATTCAGAAATACTGCTTTCCCCTTAATTGTGCGTGGGTGAGTTTATTAAATGGATTCCTATAATAGTAATTGGGAAAAAAAAAAAAAAAAAAAAGATTTGGAGTTCATTTAGTGACTGGCTCCTGTACAGTTGTGCTAGGAAGAGGAAAAAAAACATGTACTGCGTTTCTTTCCATTCTGCCTCATTTCTGCCTCTCCTCACTTCCCGTCCTCTTATCTGCCCGCGTACCACAACAGATTTTTTTCCATAGGCAAAAGAGCGTGGGTGAAGCTCAGGAAACAGGCTAATTTCCTGGGCAGCTGGTAGCCTCTGTTTGTGCTTCCCCACCTTTAGCACTACTAGAAAGGACGGCCGCAGGCCCAGCCCCTGCTGGGGCCCAGCTAGGCCCTGCTCTGGCAGAGGGAACCTCTGTCTCTGGGGCAGTCAGAGCTTTTACCCTCCCTGCACCACGAGACTCCCACCTCACAGGCTGCTCCACAGTCACACATGCCACAGGTTTCTCCTCATGTTCTTATTGACTATCTGTGAATTTACCTGTCCTAAATTGTAGCTATGGGAGGAATGGGGCAGTCAGGAGGGCATCCTGTCTTCTCTTCACCCTCACTGAGGCAGCATCGAGGTGTTTAGCATGTTAGTGCAGCCTGCAGCACTGAATAAACCAGCAACTCTTAAGAAGATCCACTCAAAACAATCTCCAGGGACCACCTCACGCCACCTGCAGGGATACAAAGTCCTACTAATTAGTTGTGCAAATCCATGGATAATCTCAGTGAGCTTGTTAATTCACTGCACCGTCCCAAACATCCCATCTGGGCGGTACCTTGGCCTACCTCTTCTGTAAACAACTGCTGCCCGAGCCCAAGTGCTGCACAGAGAGTGGAGTTTCTCAGCAGAAACTCTAGAGAAACATCAGGGTCCTTCAGGGTGCAGAAGCAAAGGTGAATAAACAAGCAGAAACGAGCAAAAGTCAGGGGATCCTGTGTGGATTTCCCCCTTGTCCAGCATATACTCCTCCCCTTCCCTTCTCCAGCTGCCTATCAGAAAAAGAAATGGGGAAGAGAGCAATCAAGGGATTAAGCAGGAAAAAATAAAATAAAATAAAATGCCAAGAGAGCAGCTGAAGTTCTCATATGAACCAGTGCTAATGTACAGCTACTTTGGGGCCAGTTGTGCAGTAGAGAACATTCATACAAATGAAACTGATGGAGAAATGCTGTGAGGGCAAAATGGAGATGCACAGCTAGGAGCCTGCCTAGCACTGAAGATCTTCTGCATTCATGGGTTCACTTTGCCTTCAAGTAAATCTAAACCACTCATGCCCTCTTTTTAGCTTAACTGAAGACTTCCATTTTGTTCGAGCCACTTTTACCAGCTGTGATGGGTAAAACGTATTTGGAAAAACGCTGCAGCCAGCATGTATTTGTGTTCTCCTTCTGACACTTCAAAAAATGACTGTGCTGAAGGAAGGAAGCCTCCCCCTCTTCTGGTCTCTCTAGCTGGAAAATCACCTCTAATCTTACTGCCCTCCTTCCTGCTGTTCATCCTGCCAATTAAAACTAGGTCTTGTTATGAACTGCAAATAGTTTCACTGTGCTTTTAGTCATTTTTTTTTTCTTTTTTTTTTCCTGGCTTAGTTCTCATTCTGTCCATGAGTATGGGTTTTGGCTTGTAATTTGCATCCCTTATTCAGCTCCCATTTTGCTCTCAGCTCTCGCTTGCTGTCAGCCTTCCTACTGCTTTGCCAAACATCTGCCAAGCTTCATGCTTCCTCCTGTTTTCACACGTGGTGAGTGAATGGCCTCACTTCAAAGGAGCCGGTACTTTGTGTGTGAGGTGGAACGACAACAACTGTGGTTTGCCTCTGCAAGGTGTCCCCTCCAGGCACATCTACATGGCATCCTCACTGCACTCGCTTCGGCGTTCAACTTTCTGTGTTTCAGTTTCCACGTTTCAAGTAAAGTATCTCTGGGTGCACTCACTTACAAGTGACTACCATGACTTGAGACCATTCGCATTTACCCTGCAACTGGGAGCAGTTCCACGTGAGCCACTGAGGAGCAGGTGTGTGTCACACTGCAGGCCTTTCTGCCACTTTCTGTTTCCAGTACTGGCAACTTCAGAAATCCATGAGCCAAGGGGCCTTAACTCCTAGGAGTGATCAAACTGCTGGAACGCGTCTCCAAACAGACCAGAAGTTGATTCTGCCCTGCCCATGTTCAGCAGCACGCTCTCCAAAAAGAAGAAACAGGACACAGGAAGCACCAACACAAGGTGGGAGAATCGAGACCTCAATCCAATGTACTAGTAATACTTAGCACTGTACATCACTATAATGTTACTTACAAACATTAACTAATAAATCCTCACAACACCCCTGCGAGGTAGGGAGGTATTATTATCCCCAGTGTACAGATGGGGAAGCTGAGGCACAGAGAGGCTAAGTGACCTGCCCAAGAGCAACACAGCCAGGCCAATAAAAGAATGGAGACGTTCCCTGCTTCCCACCCCATGCTGTCCCCATCAGACCTTGTTGCCTCTCTGGATACTGGGATCCCAGGAGGACCCTTCCAAAAGCAATGCTTGGAATTGTTGCCTATTCATAACTTTTATTTGCCTTTAATGAATTAATTCACAGTTTTCCCTCATACTGTACACCGCGCTTTCACAGTCTGTTCAGCATTCTGTGGTACCCCCCCAGCCTTCTCCTCTGGCACTGGGACAGCTCTTCAGGGGTGTTGTAGGGTGCTCTGTGCTTTCGTTAAGAGGATGTTTAGAAACAGTTTCACTGGCATTAAATTGGGAGCCTATGAGCTCTCGCTGGAGACTGGAAACACAGCAGTGGGGAAGCAGAGAGGGCACTGATGGTAAAAAGGCATTTGTGACCCCCTGCAAAATGACCGGTGGCTTTCTTGGTGTCTTAGCTCTTCCAAGCTCCAGTAGAAACTGTTGGTCTCCAACTTGCCGGGTCAGGAAGTAGTTGTCTGCAGGTTGCTTCCCTAAGGTAATAAGCAGTCCGCTCAGGACCAGCAAGGTCCCCAGCACTGCCTACACTGTGTGTTTGACACTGTCTTGGAACAAGGCTGGATGTAGCCACTGTGCTCTCCTGGAAAGGGGAAGGGATATAACCATGGCTGGCAAGCAGCCAGCATCTGAGTTTCTTCTTTCAGAACTGGGATTCAATGAAGAGCAAGGGGAAGTGGATGGATGGAGCTGGGGATGAGGCAGAGCAAACAGGAAAATCCACCAAATGGGCTTCTAGGAAGGAAATGTTCCCGTTTGGGCATGTCAGCTGAAGCAGCTTCATCTTCACAAGGCTTCCTTCTCTCTCTGGGAACATCTGCTGAGCTTCATCTCTGTCAGCTGGATATATCGTATGACATTGGTATCTGCACGGAAAGAGCACACACATACACATACAGTGATTACAATTCCCTGTGAAAGACAGATACATGGCCACACAGGCACCTTCCTATCTCTTTTTCCTTGGGAGCTGCATCACTCCAGCACTGCCTTCAAGAAGAGACCAAGCAAGAAGGGGATCTGAGTCGAACGCTGCTGTTCTTATTCCTTCATGTTCTTCGCTCTCCTTAAAGCTCACATTTGGGAATCCTTCCACCATGATAGTCCATGGCTTCATTTTTGCCATATGCTGCATGCTGCACACTGCTTAGCCTATCCTGTCTAGTGAAATTCCTGCAGACAGAGATCTGTTTCATCAGCTAGCAGAGAGCTCTGAGATCCCACTGTTACAGAAGTGGTAAGTCGAGCCCTCTTCCTCCCAACTGTTTTTAGTGCATTCAGACAGCACGAAGAATGCACACATTTTATGCACCTCCAGGCCCTAGCAGTTTGGGCCTCTGTTCACCCTGAAGCATAGGTTGATAATTACATTTCCCAAGAGAGACCTCATACCTCTGCACTCATGGCCAGTCTTTCCTTGAATCCTGTTGATGTACTATCATGAGGGCGACTTTCCACCTGCATAGCATCCAAGCATCAGCAAAAGCTATGTGATGTTAGAAGCAAGCAAGCAAAAAAACATTTTGTTTGATACATAATGTAAAAATAGTTCTTTGTTCATAGCCTTACTCAGAAGGCCAGCCAGGGCCAGCTTAGTCTATCTAAATTCTGAGATGCTCAGAAAACAGTCTAAAGGGCACTGGCAATCTTGTCATCATCCAACAATACATTTTCCCACACCAGTTGGGCAAATGAGTAGCAGCTGAACTTGCAAAAAGAAAGGGAAGTAACCGCTAAGATGGCCAGCACTAGCAAGCGTGGGTTTTGCACCCACTGGTGCTGCTATCAGTGCAAAGTTTCCTGTAAAAAGGAGTGTGCCCTCCACTGTGCCCTCAGCCAGAGCGAAGACAGCAGGAGACTGCTCGGTATCTCGTATCTCAGGACACTCAGCAAATGTGCAGTGGGGTGGCTGTGGGCTGAGGTAACGTTGTGACTTCTCAGGCTGTCGTCGGTGAGATGGGTGTCTCTGCTGCAGGCTCAGCTGCATCCCCCTTTTCAGTTCAGGGGGTGGCATTCAGAGGCCAAGATACTTGTCCTGTTTGGGACATTGGCAATGAGGCAAGACAAGGAGTTCTGCTCCTGCTTGTACTGGCTAAAGTGCTTCAGCCTTCTGGACTGTTAATGCACCAGTATTTCATACCAACAAATTTGAAAGGAGCCTTTTCTAAACTGGGATCAAGTTTTAACTAAACAACTTTCAGGAGTGAAAAAATTTAACCAAGGGACTGAAGTTTAGAGCTGGAGTAAAAGCAGTGAGCGTGCCTGGAAGGGGGCTAATGGAAAGGCAGAGATGGTATTCAGATCCAGAGTCCTGCTGTGCTGCCTGCCCCTGACACCTCTCTGTCCTCTTCCCTTCCAGGCTTTGATTGGTTTAGATGGGACCTTTGATGGGAGGTCAGCATCCCTCCCCAGCTTGAGTGCTTTTCCAGCACAGGTGATAAGTGATAACTGGGTAGGCATGTCAGGAAATCACACCTGCCTGGGCCTGCAGGGACTTGATGACTGGCCAAGAAGGGTATGTGGAGGTGGGGTTTAGTATATAATTAGGTGATGAGGAGCTGCCACCTCCTTTTGGCTTGAGTGGAAGGGAGGTAGCTGTTTATGGCACAACTTCACTCACCTGGGAGATTTCCACATGCCTGAGGAGCCAGGAGCAAAACAAGGCGTAGCTGCATAGAAGGTGGGAGCAGCTTTCACTCCAGGTTAGCTAAAAATCTCCCCTGCAAGTTTTGGCATGCTTTGCTTCCTTTTTGAGGGCTACTCTTTTGCTGAAGAAAAATAATGAGCAGAATTTTGTTTACAAAAAAAAAAAAGAGCCCTGTTTTTCTCAAGTCTTTTCTTCCAAACAGTGCTGCACCATTCTAGTCCTGTCTGCAGGAATATTTCATAGCTGTGGATAAGTTTGTAATGAAAAGGGGCTGCTAATCTCTCAGTGAGGAAGAAATGGTTGCCTTTCACTGAGGTGGCAATCATAGATAAGGACAACTCAGGTGACAGGGTTGAACTTACATGGGCAAAACTATAATCTGACCACAAGTCCCCTGGCTCCTAGGCCTGTGCTTGTGCTCCCACACATGGTGACATCCTGCAGCTTTAAAGGCTATTTGTGTGTCTGTCTTTACCTTTGGTAGCAATGTTTGTGTGCCATGAAGATATGACTATGCACTGGTTTTAGTTCCCAGTACATCCAAGTCACAAGTGCCCAGGAAGCCAGCTCTTGGCCTTAATTGTGCACCTGCCACTAAGCAGCACAAAAATCTGGCTGCTTCATGTGTTCATGTGTTTTTGGAATATGAGTTTTTCAGAGAAGAAAAGATGTTTTTCAGAGCTTAACTGATGGTGTTTGATGTTACCAGGTTAACGAATAGTCCATCTTTCAAACCCAGTAAGTAGCTACCTTGACGATGTGGTCGCATCAGCGGGATCAAGCTGAAGGAGGCTTGAAGGCAAGGGACGTGTCTGGCTGTGGAAGTTCACTTTGTTACCTGCTGTACCACTCTCTGCCCAGGAGTTCACAGAAGGTTACAAGTGCGCTTTGCTTTCCTCTTTGTTTCCAAGATGTTTCTTAGTAAGGGGTGTTATATAATTATCTTGTGTAATTTCAATCTGTTTTGGTGGGGTTTTTTTACTTTTTATTTTTGAAGTAAGAAATCAGGCCTTTGACAAACAGTAAACAGCCATCAGGGATTTGCTGTGCTGACAGACCTTCAGCACACTAAAACCCTTTGCTAACTAATTCCTCTTTATTATTTAAAATCCCCCCCACCAAAGAGAATAATTGCCAGTGATTTGTGCCAGAAACATTCCTTATTAGAAAAAGAGAACACACAGAACCTGACTGTAATAATAACCAAGTGTTTTACTAGGGGGCCTAGCAAAACATCATATAAAGAAAAGCAATCTTTTTTTGATAAAACATTGAAACTGGGAACACTGAGTTTATCCAGGTCGCATCATAATTCTTGCTAGTGTCTGTGTCCCTTCTGTTGTATCTTAACAGCCTCCTTTTTTGTTACTGTATGTATTCACCTCTTTCCCTCAAATCCCCTGCTAAAATTTCTATAATCTTAAGACTCTAAGCAGAACAATGGCTCCCTGTGCTGTAACAATAACAGGGAATGGTTTGTGATGCAGAGTTGAAGGCCAGAACTGTTTTCTTGTGTACAGTAAGGGCCTTCAGGGACAGTTTCTGATACCACTGCTTTCTGCAAAAATGTATTTGAAGATACGTAAGTATTTATTTTAAGAAGCAATAAGGGACACCAAATACTGTAACTGGAGGGGGGAAAAGGGGCACAAAAATACATATTGTAAAAATGGAAAGAAGGCAGTTCAACTGAAATAACTTTTGCACATCTGAGCCTAGTCAGAACCTCAAGGTTAGGGTAACTTTGTATTTTCCTCCAACTGTTCTTCTTTTGCATAAGCTTCTCCATTTCCTTGCTCTGGCAAGGGCTGAAAGCAGAAGGGCATACTGTAAACTAAATAGGCTAAACTGAGCTTTTAAGCGCGTTTTCTGAGCCAGTGTGGTGTACACAGCTGTGCTGTCCCACTGCCTGCAGCCCTGGGCCAAGCATGGCAGATGGAACCAGGCAGCCTTATGGGGGACAGAGGGGAATGGAGGGCCAGGATTTCATTGCTCTTCCAAGTGCATCCTGCCTGATGTTTCCTCAGGACACTCACCTTAGAAGCCCAGCAGGGCGAGTCCCTGTAGGACATGAGGCACAGTCATCTCTCGCAGCCTCCTTTGCCTCCTCTGTTCCAAAGGGCACCAGTTCCACTGCCTCTGCCAGAGCCCGACTCCTGCCTGATTTCACATTGAGTTCACACTGCTCCATTCAGGTGCAGATAGAAAAACTGCTCTGTGGGGTTTCATTGCACATTGCTTCTATTTGCTTTCTCATTATTCTTTAACTGTTCTTTGATTATTGTAAGCTTTTTTAGCTGTTTTAACAGAATTGCTTTTTAAAAATCTCCCTGGCTTTATCTCCCTACTATGGGGTTCTGTTGTACTTTGATAACAAAAGCACTCCCTCTGCACTGATGGCTTCTGAATTTGAGTAGGTCAGCACAAAGGCAGTTGTGCTGGCAGGGCTAAGTGGTTTAAATATATAAATTCTGGGTCCAAATTATTTTGGACACAAGGATGAGGGATACTTGAACAGGGAAGCAATGTTTTTTCATTGTAAAAGCTGAAATGGATTTCCTGATGAATGCTCTGTATGTAAGTATAGATATCTTTGATCAAAAAAACACTCTTTAGTATGATGGTGGTGGCTGCAAATAGTTTTCTGGCTTTGCTAAGGGGGGAAAAAGTTGTTTTTGAAGATTTAGGAAATATAATGTTGAACATGCATGCTTCTCTATCCTGCTTTCTTCTTCCAAAACACAATAGGGAAGCGAACACAAACGGGAAGAGGTAGACTCCCCAATGCCATGAGGGTGGCATTTCAGCAGTACAGCTATCCTGCAAGTCCTGCTGCAGTCTCTGCAGTAATAGCTAACATCTTTAGGCACTGCCACTGCAAGCTTGCTGCAATACTAGAGATTCTTGAAGTGAAGTATGACTAAGGCCCCAGTGAGTCATACTCATCCCTGTGGAAATCAATGGGATCAGACCACAAAGTCCAATGAAAAGAAATGCAAAAGCACTCAATAGAGCCATATTCTCCCTCCCCATACCTGTTGGCTGGCGGGCTCTTGCCTCTTTCAAGTAGTAGAGTGCCTTGTTGAAGTCACCCAGGTGGTAAAATGCAACTCCTGATCGATAGAGTGCCTTGAAGTTCTCTCCTTCTTTCTGTAGCACTTTGAGGCAATACTCCTTGACACGCTCATAATTCACCAGCTCAGCCTGGAGCAGGCAGGCTGCAAGAGAGGAGAACAGGGGGAGAGACGGGGCAGGAAATGTTACTGCTGTATTCCTCCACTCCTGCAATCTGCATGGGGAAGAGAACAAATTAGGTGTGGGAAATGACTCATTCGTGATTCAAAAACAAGCAAAAAGAGCTGCAGTCAATAGTTTGTTTCTCAAATTCAACTGTTTGCAATTTAAACACCGATGCTTTTATTTTTGGCAATCCAAAGTGAAGGGTTTGTTTGTTCTGTGGGGCTGGGGGAGGCCAGCAAAGCAGTAAAAGGAATTCTCTCCACAGAGCTGGAACACCATCTGAACTAGTGGCAGGGACTGGCTCTGTGTTGTAGAAACCTCACTTGTCAGACTGAGGGCTTGAGATCCAGCAAAGGGTGACCAAATGAACAGACATCTGACAAGGGGAGAAGACACTTAATTTGATCAAACTTTGTAATGGGTTTAATGATCCAAGGCTGTTAGATTTACAAATACGTAAATGCCTTTGCTGCAGGAGTTCCTATGGGAAATGTTGCTAAAGGAAGTAACACAAGACTCTGCTCTGCTGGAATGTGCTGCTAGCAAACAGACACCTGGAACTACAGCACAGTGAGAAAACGTGCTAGGCTGTGTGCTTTTTGCAAATATTTCAACCAGTTCATCACAAGAGGTCAGTACAGCTGACTTCCTAAAGAAAAAGGTAAACAACTGTGAAGAAACAGCATGCTGAGGATTTTATTTTCCAAAGGGGAGTTCTTGCATAAGCATCAAGGAACTAAAGCAAATCCCTGCAATGAGTTTCCCACAATGAGGAGCAATATGGGGGAAAGGGAGTTGACTGAGACAGACTTTGCAGCTTCTTTCTCACTAAGAAGGAGAAATATCCTTGCTGGCAGCAAGTTTAAACAGGAGATAGGAGCCTCTGCACTTGGAAAGACAGAATGCTGGAAGTACCGCAACATCTTACACTAGTGCTTAAGATGGATGTTGGGGACCACCAGCAATGGCAGGATGCGTTACAGTCGCAATTTTGGAAGAATGAGGAAAGCTGCTGACAACAAGCCCTTCTGGTGCTTTAACCCATGACAATTTGGGGAATGATGTGATTTTTGAGGGCTGAGGAGGATGTCTCATGCTGCAAAGGCCAGCTCAGAGGATCGCATTATTAAGTGTTGGGACCTGGAGAAAAACCTCCCATGGCAGCTGGTGTTACTCAGTGCAGCTCTGGTGAGGAAATCTGCTGCTCCTGGAAATCCAAGTTGTCACAGTTCAGATGTCACCAATGAACAGTCAGACTCTTTTTTTTTTTTTTTTAGCTGACAGGATATGATATGATGCTAGGTCAGAAATTCAATACAGTTCTTGATCCCTCTCACTGTATCCCTGAAGTCATGGACCCTCTCTGTATCTCCCTTTATACATCAGGAGAAAAAGGCTGACCCCTTCCAAACCAAATTAGTCTAAGACTTTATGGTAAGTTACCAGAGAATGCATTCCTAACTCAAATACATATTTAAAGCTTAAACAGCTACCTGGAAAGAATAATCAACAGGCTTTTACCCACTAGGGATTTGATGAGGTAGATATGATGAGCAAGGACTGCAGAATTAGCCTCGCTATAAGCAATGTAGCTGCTACAAAGAACTTTGTCCTATTTGCTTTAATTATGGACTCTTAATCTAGTTTAACAGTACCTGCCATTAAAAGCACAGGTTCTTCCAAAGTGTCAAAATTGTGACTGCAATGCATCCCAGTTGCTAGCTGTTTGACTTCCTTTTGGAAAACAGATATATTTCTAAAAGCTCAGTAGCATTTCCTTACCCAGAATTTGTCCCTTTCCATTTGTCAAACATTGACTTTTTTCATTCTGTTTCTAATGGAGCTTGAAATGACGGTGCTTTGTTTTTCTTTATTTTTCAAAGCTATTGAGAAATAAGAAAAAAAAAAAACTCTGCAAATTTATTGCTGGCTTCACAGCCCTGGACACCAAGTTCCTTCCTTTATCCGCTGACCAGTAGCATGTACACCAGTGGCAGCAGCTCTGAGCACGCTGCCAGTCTGATCCAGCCTTTCATGTTCTGTGAAGCAGCCATTTGGAGCAACCAGAGGGGGATTTTAAGGCCTCTGTTTATTTACTACTTGGTATTTCCAATTATAATCACAGAAATGACTCTCAAAATGAGGGGCAGTCTGGATACTCATGTATATTAATCATTTCATACTGGACTTGCTTCGTAGATTGGCTTTAAAAAAGGGAGTCCTATAAATCCTGCCAATTCCGTAAACCCTACTGGGCTGCTGAATATCCAGCAGCTCTGAGACTCGCATTCCCAGCAAGGATTCTGCTAGCAAACATCCCTAGTAACTAATGCACGTGGCAGAGAGGAGTCAGCACCACATGGCTAGTAGGATAGCTGCATTTTTATCTCCACAGAATGAGCAGATGGATATGCAAGAAGCAGTTATGTTGAAGGAGCTGGCCATTTGGAGAGTCAGGGTTTGAACCAAGTCTGTTCTAAATGAAACTGAAGGGAGCTGCTCCCTTGAATATTTAGAGGTGAATGCTCTGTTCTTGGTGGAGTAAAATGATCTTAATGGATAGTGATTTAGAGAAAATATTGAAGCTGTTAGTAACTCAGTGGTCAAAAATAGAAGGAGCCTGGACTCCTTGTGCTTCCTACCGAATTCCATCAGAAAAAACTGTTTTGAAGATGTGTTGTTTTCCTGAAGAGAAGCATGCACCTCTGGCTGGGAGTGTTTGTTTACCACATCAAATGCTTCCTCACCCTGCTTTTCTGCTCATAATATCCCCCCGGTGAGTCCTTCAAAGGAACAGGGTGTCAGAACAAATTAAGGCAGACATTTGGCCATTTTGCCTCATAAAAGTAGTCTTAAATCCTCAATTCCTGGACTGAATCTATGCTAGCCAGCTCTATCATTTACAAGTTTGGAAGATGTTGTATATACTCAGTACCTGTAGCAAATGGTACTATTGGAGGAATCTGTGTGACCCTGAACAAGTTAGGCAAAATAAAGGCTAAAGCCCCTGTAGAATCAAAATACAGGCACCTTTTAACTCTTGCAGGTAGCTCTGGTTAGCAGTGGTGGGAAGTTTTGAGAAAAATCACTGCAGTTTAGGGTTTGTGATTCTTGTTTATTGTTCCTCAAATTCTGTTTCAATTCCAGATTATTTTTTCAGGCAGGCATCTAGGCTTGACAGATGCTAGTGAGAAAAGGATCCAAACCAGCACTTTATTTCCTAAAGTCTACTTAAGCTTCAACTGCCAGACACTTGTTGCCACACCTTGGTCTGCTACCTTGAAAAGCCTGTGTTTACTCCTGCATCAGAGCTTTGGGACTCTGATCAAATCACTTTATAATACTCTGTGTAGGAAGTACCCCCCCCCGGAAAATCTTCTGCTTTCTTCACTTTTATGGCTCTTTGAGCATTGAAAATTAAGCTTATTTAAAAATGCTGCCAGTTATCATCTTACCAGAGAAATATCTCCAGGTTATATAATAGCTCACTTTGGCCTGCACGTCTGGATTCTGATATTGGCTGAGCCAAGAACTAAACCTGGAAGCAGGATGTACATCTATCTGACCTTGGCACGGGCCTTAGGTTCAGTGCATTGTGTTGGCCATTCCAAGAACTACATTTACTGCTTTTTCTGAAGGTGCAAAGGCTCTTGTCCTACAGATCGCTGTCACCCAGGTAAGATGGGGGCACTGCCTATTTTTAAGATTGCCTAGGCCCTTCCTCTGTAGGAGAGACTTCAGCTGATAGCTTTGTTAGTTGTAAGTACTGGACTAAAATCTTTCAGGTGCAATGTCTGCATTTGATGTATGTTTTTGGAAAGTGTCATTCTAAACTTCTAGGTATTTTTGAAAAGTAGGCTACAGAAATATATCTTAGCCTTCCCTTGTTAAAGATCTCTGGTGACTGTCTCTTTGGATTTGTATTGAGTCCTGTCATCACTTGGCTCTGCAAACTGCAATTTGGCAGATCTCATTTGTGTCAAGCAGGTGCCTTCTGTCATCCTCAGAGTAATGTATAGCTGGCCAAATGATAATTTCCCCAAAAGAAAAGCATCTAGTACTCAGTAGAGATGTCCTAGAAAAAGGTACTCGGATCTATTTAATATTCTGTCCACTCTGGACACAATTCAGTCTAGGTTGGGAAAGAGTGTGTAAAAGAACATCTTTTACAGCTTCACTGATCGAAAGCAAAAAGAGCAGGAACTGGAAGCTAAACTAACCTGGTTTGCCTACCTTGGGCAGAAACACAGGGACAGACACTGTCACTTGGAATGCAAGAACACTGGGACTGAGAGCTGTAAGGGGACAGACACGGCCATAGGGCTGGAGAAGAGCTGTAGTGAGGGGACAGGACTTGGCCGTGCACTGAAGTTTGAGAAAAACTGTTGAGAAAAGAGGCATGGGGCAGTCAGCCTGGAGGCAAAGAGGAGCCATTCACAACAGCTTTCCTAGCAGATCATTTAGCCTAAATCATATTCCTGCTCTTAATGAGCTTTGCTGGTTATTACTGACCACTCTCCAATGCCTTAATTTAGCCTTTGTAGTTATTCCCTGGAGACAGCCACAGGCATCCTGTGCAGGAACTAACAGTCATATGTTTGAACAGCCCACAGGTACCTATGCAAAAGGGTCTGAATCCAAATGACCTCTGTCTTCCACCCCTGAGAAACTGAAAATCCAGAGTACATTACATTTGCCTTCCACAAAATTACTGGTGCATTTGACTTGCTTTCACTGAGGAGTTTACTGTGATGGAGCAAAGCTGCTAAGACTGATCTACAACATCCAGTGATTTTTTTAATAGGTAAAATACAAGTGTATCTTCATTGTTTGGTTTCCAGGCAGACAAAAGTAGCTAAATTGATTACTGCCCACATCTGAAGTGGATTGTCCTTTTTCACTGCATTTATTTTTGATTCTGCCATTTGAAGTTAACTGCAAATGTGTGGATTACGGCCCTTTAGAAACTGCTAGGTGT